GTCCCAAAACCAGCTTTGCTCGGTACGAACACAACAGGCGGTCTAAGCGTCAATGGCACCTGAGGATACCTGTCAACCGCGAAGCCTGCATCCTCCTCAGTTTTTTCTTCCTTCTTTTCCTCCCAACCTTTTCTCTTCCTCCTCCTTTTCCATGAATAAACCAGTGGTCAATCTGGTAGTGCTATCGCCAAAGACACGAATGTAGGGTATCTGGTGCCTGGTACAGGATCTGGCTTGCACTGTCTAATGCGGCACTTCGAAGAATGTAACCAGTTTACAGAACCACCAACGGCTATCGCGAGGGCTCTGCATTTATGAAAGGCCAGAATGCAGCAAAAGTTGCGCGTTCTTTGTTTGCTGGAATTTCCACCCCATAAAGGTGACCGACGCAGAGCCCACTCTTGCTGATTGGTTTCTTCCCTGGATGAGTGCGGAAAGGCAAATTAAATGCGTGAATTCCAGTAGAAAAGACCAAATCAATAAGACAATTTGGCGAAAGCTACACTTAAATTACTTTTATTTCCCTTTTTCGGGTAATTGCGTAGAAATAGCCGTGGCCATTTGAACACGTCGTTTGTTTGAATGTTTTATGCTCAAATTACAGGTCATTACCATACCATTGTTTGCTGACCAATTACGTAACGCCAAAATGTTGCAATATCGTGGAATGGGTATAGTAATCGATAAAGATGAAGTTACCACTAATCGATTAATCGCAGCTATAGAGGAAATATTGCAACCGAGGTAATATTGACTGGTTTGGTTTTAGCCAAAAATATTCACTGTTCATCCTGTGAAGCTCCACTCTTTTGAATCTAGGTCACATTTCGATTGAGCCTATTCCTTGGAGGTAGATTGGGCAAAACTTCGTCTCACATCAGATGGACAAAGATTGCATCAACCTGAAGCGAAGACTCGCGCTCACGCCATACGCGCCGGCCTCACAGGCCTGCTCAGGTGCCTGTACCCGTGCATAGCGCAAACAGGAGTTTCCTCTGCAAGCGAATGTGATATTCGCTTTCAGAGGGCCCAAACCCCTCAGGGCGAATTCTTAGTTATCTTGTCGTCTTTTAAGTGTTTTTGCTGTGGAGCCCGTAAACCGGGAGCCGGGCGGTTCTG